TATGTATATGTGTATATATATGTTTGTGTGTATGTGTATATGTATGTGTGTTAGTATTTATTTTTATCTCTATTACTATTTTTGTAAGCCCTTTTTTTATTTATATTTCGTTCTACCGCAGTATTTTCTTACTATATTTAATCACAGTAATTAAGTTTTTACTGATTTTGTTATTGTTGCACGTCTTTATGGCTGTGCCTGTGTTATAAAAGAGAAGCAATAAAGTTACTAAGTTACTTACTTACAAACAAACATGTATACTACAAACATGTTATTACCTCAATGCACAATACCTCAGTTTAAGTTTTTAAGTATTTATTGTTTTCTAACAAATGCAGGACAAAAATATAGATACTTGATTTACAATGAATCTATAATCCATATGGTGGACACATTTGTTGTAATAGTAGAAGAAGCAATGTAAAATTCAAAACTGATATCGCTTTATTGACTTAACTATAGTATAATGCTGTTACATCTGTAACCCAGAAGAAACTGCTGTCAAAAGTTAATACATTTTATAATGTTAGTCAATAAAGTGCTACCAGGTTCTAATTCTATGATTACATATTTTCAACAATCTGATTGAAATAGACCTTGACGCTGTGCCATTTCTCATGTATAGACAATTCATGTTCTGTAGTTTAATCCGATCTAATAAATATTTGTTACTGAGTTTGTATTATGGTATTGTTGTATTTCATCTGAAGTCAGTGTTTAACAAAATTTTATCAAACAGAAATCTATAGCTAAAGTAGTAAATAGTTGGATTTTCTTTCCAATGTTTAAAATTCCAGTGTAAGTGGTCCCATCCTTCACTAAATTCCTGTTTTATTCTGAAGTTGATCTCCAGAACCACTGTCTGTGTCATAATCAGGTGTTTCAGTTGCATTCTACTACCTCTAATCATTATTAGATTCGACCATATCATACTATAAATAATAAGTCCATTTGGGAACCTAGGGCTGCTGTCTGGGCTTATGTACAGGATAAAGTTGCTGTCATTGGTACTTATGTTACCTCCAATGTATAATAGTGCCAATAAAAAAAATCATCCGTGTCTCTCTTCACATGATTAATTAATTAACCCCCTATTTCATTTCCCCCAGCCCGCAATACTGAATATTTTATCTTGGCCCTATACTATCATGACCAGACCATCAAACCTTTTGTCTCTTTTCACATGATTAAATTTTCTGGGCTCCCGGTCTATATACAAATCGTAATTAAACATACTGAAGGATATCAAATGGGTTATTTTGTAATTACAATTATTTGAAGTAAAATATATCTTACTTTACTTCCAAGCTTTTGTTACTGTCTCAGCAACTTTTTTTTTTATTTGCACGGTTCCACTTGTCACATGATCATTCAAGCATGCAATGGAATGATCATGTGACAACACCTCCTCCAGTACTGCCGGTAGCTCGTATCAACGGTCACGAATGTGACGGTCACAAATGTGACAAGTGGATCTGTGTAAATACACCAGTTTCCCAGAAGAAGTTCCTGAGACAGTAACAAAAGCTTGGAAGTAAAGTAAGGTATATTTTATTTCAAATAAGTCCAATTACAAGAATAACCTATTTGATATTATGAGCATTAGAATAGTACCAAATATTTTGGACATATTGAAGGATATTTTTTCACATGTTTCAATAGTCAGTTGAATAGTCAGTTGAAAGCTAATAATTAATTGAAATATACTGTTGTAAATTATTCTAAAAAATATCATTACTTTTTTTTTATAGAAAAATGTGAATATAAAGTCTTCTATATATTTTCATTCATACACTGATTCATAAATATTCCATGAATTTAGCATCCATCATTCCTTTTTTTCTTTCAGTTGCAGATATTCCCGGGTTGATACCAGGAGCACATATGAACAAAGGTCTTGGACATTCATTCTTAAAGCATATAGAACGTTGCCTATGCTTGCTGTACGTCATTGACCTATCACAGCCCAACCCCTCAGAGCAACTCCAGCATCTAAAATACGAGCTGAATCAATACCACCCTGGCCTAGCAGACAGGCCACACGCAGTTGTTGGCAACAAGATAGACTTACTGGAAGCCAAGGAAAATCTTAAAACATTGCAAGACGGCATTAAATTACCTGTCATCGCAATTTCTGCTCAATGTAAAATGAATATAACATCACTTAAGTCACATTTACGAGAACTTTATGATCAAGATATGAAGGGGAGAAAAAAGGTGAAAGAAAAGAAGGAAAACGAGTCTCGTATTATATGAAAGCTGTATTCCCCGACAAAAAAAAATTCATAAAAACACTCTTTTTTCACTTGGAGACACTTTACTCTGCCAAGGCTGTTTTTCATCATGGTATGCAAGGCCATATTTATAAAAAGAAATTAAATTTAGTTTGAAGACATAAATTCAAAGTACATACACATATAAAAGCTTAAAATAATACACAAGAGGCTATTTTTCCTATAATCAATGAATATGAAAGTTTATTCTATTAAAAAGTCTGATGTTGTAAGGCTCTGGGGCAGATCCATAGCTTTATTCTGGCCATCTCGCATCACTTGTTTTATTGTGTGAATGTTTATGTTAATTATCCACATGCTAAAATACTACTCTTTAATTATACAGTAGTTAATGTTAATTAAATATTAGTTGTCAGCATCCTGTCATAATCTGCTTATTTATTTATTAAGTCTGAACTGCACTATATAATAAAATCAAATATGAATCAAATATGAATTAAATATTAAATATTATTATTATTATTAAATATTAAATTATGAATTAAATATGAGGCAAATGGGGAACTCTCAGAATGAGCAAGAAACTAGGGGAGCTAAGGATGCTCGCAAGTGACAAGAGAAAATGGCCTCAAATGAAGAAGGACTGATTGCAGCTGTAGGAAGTTTCTACTACTACAGAAGCAGTATCCAGTATATAATAATAATATGAATCAATATATCTGTGTAATATATGCCCTGATAATGGTTACTGAAAAATAATTAGTTGCCCAATTACCCAAATGATGACGTAATTGAATGATGATGAATTGATAAAATGAAATTGTAGAATACTGTTTATAAAACATTTTATTTCAACATGCCTAATTGATAAGTTCTACTTTCCATGAAAACCCCGGAAATTATGAATATCCCAGTAACGGGTAAAAAAAGAAAGTTTTCGCAGTTTTAAAGACATTATACAGGCCAGTTGGAAGCAGTTTACTATTGTTTCAGCCAACAAGAATTCCCCACCCACCCACATTCACCCCAGATGGTATTATTTACCAATGGCAGTGCCAGTTGATGGTCCAAGTTTCCCGACGGGGGTCTTCAGCCCCAGTTCTCTACTATTTTCCAACTAGCTAATAAAATTTACCCAAAATTCGTCAAATACCTGTACTGTATTACATTCAGATGCTTCAGATCTGAAACTTATCGTAAACATTTAGAAGAACGTATCACATTTCAGCTACGCTAAAGCGACATGGACTTGACGTGTCATTCAAGAGCCTTCAGATATTAAATGGCTTTATGTTAACTAGTCATTATTTACATGGATATACAGTATATATAAAATGGAGAAAAAAAGAAAATCATCTCAAGTCTGAGAGTGCATTTTCCACAATCATAAAATGTTTTTACCTCACCCCACCATGGTGGGGCTGAGGTGGTCTAGACCTTCCTACTGTGAGAGTGAAGTCAGGCCAAAAAAGATATTGATTGGTGAAATATTGGTCCGGCCAAAACTAGACTGCTTACTACCTTGTTGTCAGTGGCGGCACCAGTGGGGGGGACAAGGGGGGCTTAAGTCCCCCACCGGACAGGTCAAGCGCCCCCGCCAGAGAGAGCTCATCACATGTCTGTCACAGTCTGCCATTTCCGGCCATCCAGAGGTTGCTATTCTTTAAAAAAAATCTCATTTGGGAGGGGAACCCCTTCCCTCAGCTCGAGCCTACGAGCTCAAGTCCCCCTCTTTGGACAACTTAGGGGGCCCCCCCCAGAAAATATATCCTAGAGCCGCCACTGCTTATTATACTTAAAAAACCCTTATTGTACAGATTACCCTCCTAATTACGCCTCATCACTCCACCTGTACAAAAAAGTATTACTGTATTTGATAAGTCAAAAAGTATTATTTGATAATAGTAATAATAAAAAACTTGTAATGCTCCAAAGGCGTAGTGTATGTTAAGAAGCTAAGCTGTTAAAGAGATGAGTTTTAAGTTTAGGTTTAGATGAAGTAATAGATGTATCAGACCTAATAGATAATATTAGATAGATAATATCTTATTGTTTGAGATCTTGGAACAGTGAGAAGATTTTGCAAAAAAGATCGAAGGCAATGAGTGGGCCAGTAGCGAATGAGATGACAAGTAAGGTAAAAAGGTACACTCAGAACAAGTGCTTTAAACATAGGTAGACGTTTTTTAAAGATAATGCGCTGTTTGATGGGAAGCCAGTGAAGATTTTGAAGTACAGGAATATTTTGGAGTTAAGCACATACGAGCAGCATAATTTTGAATCATTCGAAGGCCTTGGATAGAAGCAGCAGGATGATTGAACAAAAGAGAATTGCAATAATCAAGCCTGGAAGTTATGAAGGCATGAGTAAATATCTCAAAACACTTTGGATTAAGGTATCTATGGATTCAGCAAATGTTGCGGATGTGAAAATTGGCAGTCTTGCATACAGAGTTAATATATTTGTTTTAAAGTTAAGTGCTCATCAAAGACAACACCATGATTTCGAAACAGTAGAAGATTTAATAATTGTGGAGCCAATTTTTAAAGAAGGAAATGTAAAACAACCTTGTCTGAAGTATATTCCAGTTGATACGTATCTGTTGATGATCTTTAAAAGCCAGTAAAGGCCAGATATAATATTTTTTACCCTGAGATAATTAGAGCTCTCAATAACAGGCAGATCCATTAACTTAATTACTAATGTAGCAGTTTGGTATTGTTTAATACATTTAGAAATTGTCAGGTCACCAATGCAATAGTTCTATTTTGTAAATTGTTTCCCTTAAAACAAATTGTTCTTGCTTTTAGTCCAGCCAACAGACCAAATCTATATTCTCTTAGGACAAATAATAAAAACAATGAATGTTGACTGACATGATCAGCATGACTTCCCCATTTGAGGTTTTATCTTTGACCCAAATGTGTTACAGCTCTTTAATATTCATACCACTATTTCAATGTTTCCCTATAACCACATTTTTTTTTTTAATACTGTACCTCTAAACACTGATTATAGTCTTTGTATTAATTAAAATATCATTAATATTAATTCTAGAATTCAAATTCATCTATTGACATTTTTTTACCCAATTGTTGTACAATATTTGAAATTTCTCTATATTTTTGAATGTAGTTAAATGTGTTCTTGATGTGAATTTCTTCTTTTCTCAATAAATGTATATATGAATCTTATTTTTAATTATCAACATACTGAACCCATATTTTATAACTTTTTATAAAATTTCTTAATAATTTTTAATGTATTTAAACCATTGTCAATGTAAATTTCTTATTTTCTTCTTATAAATGTTTTTTGAATTTTTTAAAAACTCAGCCCCTGTAAACTTTACCTTTCAGATGTTTTTTTAAATTTTTCTTCCTTCAGTTTTAATTGTTAAACTTCAACTTGTTTACAAATTGCAATAAAGTAAAAAAAAAGCTTTAGCTTTTGATTTTCTGATCAACTATTCACAATTGGTAGAACTGCGGGTCATGTCTGCGGGTGATACAGCTATGTTAGAATTAATTAATAATGATGATGACCCATTATGGGCAACAAGAATAATGATCAAAATTATCTTGAAGTAAACACTTTCAAAAGAAATGTTATTGATTTAAATAGGGAGGAAAAGAGTGAATATGAAAGGGTTGTCATTAGGGAAAACAGTAGATAAATATACAGTACTTTTGGGATGACCATTTATGATATAGAAACAATGCTCCACAATGTATTGTATGAGACAACTAAATAAACATATTTAGAACTGTTCAGTGGTATTTAGTACCTGTATTTTGTTAAGAAAGTGTTAATGATAGGTTCATGCAGTTTCCTTTGTAGAAGGATGAACAGACTGAAGTCTTAATTTTGAAATGAAACTTTAAACAATGAAATAACATTTTCATTTTTTTAAATAATTCTTTAAGGAAAATAATAGCTATTTACATATTGGCTCTACTACAATTGCAACTGCTGTTAAATATTGGAATAGCTTTTCTACCTTACAAGGTGTTTCAAATATTAGATGCACAATACAAATTTGTGAATATACCAAGCACACAACAGCTTCTGAAAAAACACATTTTGCAAATACATAATGCAAATTTGGTATCAGCAAGTCAATAGGTCAGCATTGTTTTTAACAATGCAAACCTCAATATATGTTGCCATTTGTGTGTGTTTAACTTAAGTATTCAGCCTCTGGTAATTTAGTGTTAAAACTTGCCTTTAACGGTATAACGTTCATTATGTTTGTTAGTTATAACTTTAGCTTCCCTGTATCAGAGGGTCGCTAGTCATAACATTAGGTTACCCTACACCAGAAGGTTGCTAGACCACATTAGCTTACCCTATACCAGAACGTCACTTGAACATTAGCTTACCCTATAGACTACTACTAGTAGTAGTACTAGACAGTTGCGAATTACAGATCTACTCAGATCTATCTCATATCTTCAAATTTACCAATAACATTGTTGAGACAGCACATGCATGACAGCATACGACTTTGATAAAATTTTAATTGGCACTACAATGACTAACAGCTTTATTTTTCTTGACCAGCAGCAAATTGTTTGTAAAGAGCTTTATGAGTTACAGTATGACTAGCGAACTATATGTATAGCAACCTTATGAACAGTGGCGTTGATTCCTTTCTTGGTATATGCTATGTTATGGTTTCATGCATTATTCATTAATGTTTTTCACAAAATTTTATATTTTTACATAGCATAATGTACAAAAAAACCGCATCAAAATTTATGATACTTAATTTTTCAGCACACATAATCAAAATTTGAACTTCAACTTGATCAGATATCTCATCTTGATTTGACTGGTGTTGTAGACAATGTACTCGTTGTAATTGAGGGTGTAACCGGAAGGATTCACCACACCAGTGTCATTGCTCTTGCCCAAAGGCACAACAGTTCCATCTGACCTGGAAGAATAAAGCAGAAAAAATTGATCAACTTTATAATATAAAATACTTGTTTATTTTCAAATAAATTTGTGGTATATTACATACTATTTTTAAGTTATATTTTAAAAAGTAATTACTAATATTTCTCTATAGTATAATAATGTCATATTTATGCAGAGTTTTCAAGTTCTACAGAACATCAATAGTCTGTATTAATATGCAATCTTGAGTTTTGTAAAATATGTTGTTTCTGCCAAGAATTTCTAGCCTCTCTATGTAAACTTACATGACATGGGATTTTGTGGCATCAGGGGCCATCTTGCCAAGACCTTTGACACTGTGTTTCCCATGAGGCAGTTTGTCTGCCCTGTAGTCTGCAGCAAGTAATTCATTAGGTGTTCCCAAGGCAACCTGAGACAGAAAGAAAAAGTGCTAGGTGACAACATACACAGCTCTGTTAATGATATCCAGTAGTGTTTGCTATATTGAGTAATAAAGTTTTAATCAGAAATCTATTCTAAATTAATGTTATAAATTTAAATGTCTATAAAATAATTAATTTTTTGACTGTTTCTCTCAGTTTACTGACCATTTTATTTAATTACCTTCAGTACTGTCTCTTAGTAAAAAATTAGATATATGATCTACGTGTTTCATGACCTAGTACTGTATGTATCTTGACCTTGCATGTTACATGACCTAAAATGTATTATGTCCTAGGATGTATCTTGACCTAGGATGTACAGTTTATTGACCCAAGATGTAACATAATCTAGGGTCCAACATGACTACATTTTTGAGGATTAAATGGAATTAGCACTCTAGTGTTCAAACAACTATGGATAGAATTCACACTGAATGGAAACATGACATGCAAACCTTCCCAGCTCTTACCTCACAAAGTAACATGAAGGCAACATCTTTACTACTTGTAGCAAAACAATAATTAGCAGACTTAGATGACATGTCAGCAAAATAAACACCTTTCCCAAACTGTAAGAGCAGAAACATTATACTGTATATTTATTGAAACCAACTCCAAGATGATGGAAACACTGTAAATACAAAAAAACTACCATAAATGCTAAAATTGCCCTGTCAAAAATATAAGACAAATTCATGAAAAAAAAACCAATTCTACAGTATATAAATAAAAATTAGATTCTTGTTTTTGATGGAGAAATGTGTTCATTTATATAGAGCCTTTTTTTTCAGATATGAAGTGCTTATCACCCTGGTCCACATGCTAAGTGTTGCTGCTGTAATCTGTGCAGGAACAGACAACCCTATCAGGTACCCATTTATACTTTTGGGTGGAGAGAAGCAATGCAGATAAAGTGCCTTGCTCGAGGACACAAGTGAAATGTACAGCAAGGATATGAAATCTCGACTTCTGAGTCTGGGAAACTAAACCTTTCTTGCTACAGCAAACTGCTTTGTTACTGGGTGAACATCTCTCACAGGGCCAAGGTTAGGATTTACCAGACTCAGCTTGGGCTGAGAAAACTTTACAACAGCGTTTAGTGCAGTAAAATATGAAAAATGTTTTGTGAGAATTAGCACTGTCTGTCATGATTGGTAAAGGGATGCAAACATTTATGGAAATATTTTTGCTAGGTATATAACTGATAAATCTGACTTAAGTAGAATCATGGAAGGTGAAGTTACCATCATGTTTTGCAAACTAAGTGTCCAACCAAGACAGCTTTATTGTATAACTGGTTTCTCAAGAAAATGAATACAAAACAAAATACCTTTACTGTTAATTATAACTTTCAGGTTTTGAAGATTACTCAAAAAGAAACACCAGTGTTATTTATAGTGTATAAAAATCTTAATTACCACCTGATGTTTAGGAAAGTAAATTTTGGCAAAGGACCTCAGGACCATAACTGCAGAGGCTGTATGGGCCAGTACAAGGGGGTATCCCCCTACTCGTCTCGTAAGATGTACTGGGTTCTTTTAAAGGCACATGAGCCAATTGTGTACACTGGGCCTACGGTTTATAGTTCTTATCAGGGAAGACTTGTTCCACCGCCATAACCATAGGCGAGTGTGCTGCTCTAACCAGTGCCAATAGTATGGCCTTGGGTTGCAGTGCCCCTGCATTAACCACTTGGCGATTCGACTTACCATGTAGCCTGTGACAGGGGCCTCAGGTGGAGCTATTCTTAGCCCCTTGCTCATGATGCCAGCAAAATTTGTCAGTCGCGAACCATGCCATAAAAGCATCCTGTACAATAGAACAAACAGAAGTGATTAAATCTGATTAAACAGAATTCAAAACACAAATTCTGTTTGTGATTAATCTGTATTAATCCTTTTAATATGCAAATATCCTTAATATACACACACACTTACATACACCATAATGTGTTATAACTAGGTGTTTTCCAATCTCAATCATTTCTCTCTGCTATCCTAGGGCCCGTTCGAGTGAAAAAATAATTCACCGGTACAAACATTCTGAAACCGCTTAGACACCTTACCATCTGGATTATTCGCAAAAATTTGGACCACCAAATTGCTGGGTAGAATATGGTGTATGGAATGACCATGGAGCCGGAGGTGATGATAAATCAACTTTAATCGTTTTTTAAAATGTTTTCTGCACAGTCCAGTGTGCGAAATTCAATTGGGTTACAGACCAGGCCTGGTTGCAGCTCTCCTTCGCTCCTCACATGCACGACGAAATCGAAGTTAATAGTAGCATATAGCTACGCATTCGATTTGCAGATTTACCATTATTCGGAGAAATAATCTTGAATAAACTAGCCAACGTACAGATTTTAAGGCAGGGTTTATAAGTGTTGAGCTCAAATATCTTGCCGCTCTGTGCGTACATGAGCCCAGTTATAGCAGCAGTAGAAAGTAAACAAAGAAGGGGTTGTTGGCCATTGGATAAGTTAAAATTTACTTCCAGAGTAGTTTCGTTACACGGTATTTAACATGAACTAAAACTTGCTGGAACGGTTGACTACCAGCTGAGAGCTCAGCGCAATTCACCAGTGAAATAAGTGCATGGGCATAGAGCTTATACAGGGAGGTACTGATTAGACTTATAAATCAATTCTTTTGTGGTCAGAGGATGTGCTATAATACAAACACCCATAAACTCACACTAGCATAAATGCATGGTGTATTACCTGTTGCCAACATCTTTGAAGCGGTCTTTTTCTCCCTCCTTCTCCATCTCAAAAACATCCATCACCTCCAGCTTGTAATGAGCATGTGTTTTTGCGTGGGTGTTCTGTACATACTGATTAACCATCTGAAAAACAAGATTAGAATGTTACAAGTGCGAAATGGCATTCCAATTACAGCATACAGCCCACATATGTGTTGAGACTGCAGTGCTTTGTGACTTAATGTTGTCTTGATGTTCTCCAAGAGATGGTGATAAAATGCGCATTCTTTACTGGATATCAGTGTATGTGTATTATAGGTACTCGGTACTGTATTCAACACTGTTGATTACTCTTGTCTTGTTGGAAGCATTAATTGAGGTTAGACTTTATTTTTGCTTGTTCCTTTAATCATAATTTAATTCAATTATGTAATGGTTGATATGGGACACATATAGTTGTTCAACATTTTATATCATAGCTGATGAATGACATACAGTTTAACATTTCTTTCAAATGCAATATCAAAAAGTCCAGGGGCGGTTGCTATAAAACAGTCTTTAGCTGGTAGTCTTAACTCCTCGAAATAAAGCCGGCTTTATCACTTAGACGGTCTTACGAAAGTCACTCTGCTAGACCATTGCTATAAAACAGTCTTAACTTAGACCGGTTTGAGTATTGAAATGCAAACAAGCCCTCCCTGGTAACATAAAATTGAGAGTGCTGTTACGCTTGCTCAAAACATGCATATTTATCAAAATGAACATAAATAAACTTAGACGATTTTTACAGACACTGAGAAACTTGCGGAATATTCGTTGGTCAATTCTTAGTCTTTGACGAACTTCAATTCTTAGTCTTTGACGATTTAGGTGCAGATCTACCACCTGTAACGCCAGGATGAAAATGATTTAAGACCGTTTCAAGCCTCCTCTGAGTAGGCTTTAAAATTTAAGACGGCTAACTGGTTAGAACGCGGTATAGCAATGGTCTATAATCATAGCCCAGTAGTGACATCAAAATTGAAGCCAGCTAAGCGTCAAGACCGTCTAAAGACCGTTTATAGCAATATGCCTCTGTGCTTCACCAACTGAGCTACATCATGAGGACAAGCTGGAAATCTCTAAAAAATGCAATAAAAAAATGGACGCGCAAGTTCTATAGCAACTATTGTACTTTTCTATTGTGTATTTTACTATATATTTTTTAATTTGTACCTTGTATATGAAACACTTTAATAAACACAGCACATCCAACCATCTAATATATTTACCTTAAAATCTGGGTTGTCCTTCTCTAGTGGTTTTAGTTCACATTTTAATGAATGATATTGGTTATCAATTGGGTGTTCATTAGTATTCAAGCCTTCTTCGAGTACAGTAAGAGCAATCTGTATATCTGCCAGTGCCTACATTAATTTAAAGAAAAAACATTATGTACTAACAGCATCATATAACGTTTTTCTAAACATTTTGTCCAATCTGTAAAGCCAAACAAACACTATCTATTTTTTGTTGATATTCTCTCTCTTTCTAAACCAAATGTATGATGCCATTTTGTATAAAAATGCCACAGTGTGATGTGTTTGGTGCTAAGGTAAAGTTATTACATAAACTTTCATCTTATCGGACAGTTGGACTGTTATTTCTCCATTGTGTAACAATTTATTATAACTATACTGTATATAACTAAACTGCTGTAAGCTTCATAACAAAATATAAGATTTGAATTATCATATTTTATAACCAAGCCTTTACTGATTTTGTCAATAATAATAATAATAAACAAGCATTTTTAAAGCACTCTCCAGCACAACAATAAGACACAATAATAAGATTAAAGCAAAATAATTCTCAATCTGACCTCGAGAAGTTTGATCTTGGCTTTCAATTCTTCTTTGGTACGTATCAATGGTGGTCTTGTCATTCTTCAAAGAAAGTTCAAATACAAATAAATTAAAATCAATATGCAGATAAATTCATGGAATACACTCAGCCATTGGATGAACTATTATAGTATATTCAATTTTGATTCTTAAGAACACCATAAAAAATGTGTCAAAGGTTATAAATTGTCATGCTATTTTTCCACATACATGTAGAGCATGATACAGGAATGCCTACCAGACTCATTACGTTTTGAGTGAAATAAAATTATGAATTATGAATCTAAATTCATATGCATTTCCTCTAATACCTAATACTGCAATGTGTGAGAGAGGGTTAATATAACAGAACACACTAGGAAGGAAATTCATTTATAATGTTACCTACCCAAAGCAGTGGGGAATTCTGGTATAGAAATCATTGCATGCTTCAATTAGCTGCTTTCCGATAATCCCTTTGGTAATGCACTTCTCAATTTCCTTCAGTGCTAGATAACCAAACTTAATCTGTTCAGCTGTGAGCTTACCGAGTGGTGCCTTCACTGCATCATACTTCATCTCAACAACAGCCTCGGTCATTGCATTTATGTTACATATCATCTTGATCACATCCTTAAGTTTAAAACAAAATTATTGTTATAAAAAATGCATATTACATTGTAATGAATTGCCTTTATGCACTTTACAATATAAAGCCTGGTTTTGATAAAATTGCTACACTGACACCACAGTCTTTTCACTACAATTGTTACACTGCTTTGCTGTCCAACACAACCAGAAAGGCTCTCCGATCAGCAGTTGGTTGGCGGTAGCATGTAGTAATTTTGTTTGCAAAGCAGGTTTTAATAGATATCTAAAATGCAATGAATACAAATAAATACATGGGAGTTTGTGAAATAATACATACTTTGAAACACAGCAAATAAACTTAAAATGACATACTCAAAATAAAATTGTTGTTTTGCTCAAGTAAATTCACACTGGATATCAGTGTTGGACAAGACTTATCTTACTGGAGGCCTAGGCTGTAATTCCCCAGGGTTCATGGCTAACCATCGCTCACTCCATCAATTTTGGCTTGCAAAATGGCTTGGACATCCTTATTTAGGGATTCATGGCTATTTTTTTTTTTTTTATTTGATATAGATATATGTATGTTCATATATGGAAATCCAAATATATATTTTACAATTTATAAAAAATTGAATGGCTGTGTCATCATACAATCATAAACTCATTGTGGGGTTATATTAAAGAACTCTTTCTTTCATTAACCTATTTGTTCATGCACGTATGGTTCTGTATGCGTAAAATGGACTTCAAATTTATATATTGTTCATTTTCTGGTTTCTAATTTTATGAAACAGTATGATTTATGTATAGTAATGTAGGTAGTTTTTTTTTTCTGAATATGTGATAAGATATATCTGTTTAAAAAATGCATAGCCCTAAATATCAGGGATATATGTTGGGCAGGGCAACCCAGCCTTGATGTTTTCCACCCAGTCTAAAGCTAATTCCATGGTCCTCCACCAACTTTTATTAACCCCCTTCACCATCCTTAAAAGCCTCTATTATTATTTAGAGTTTACCAACTTTATCACCCACACACCCTTAAAATGTCAACCACCAATACTTAAATTTCTACAGCTGCAACCCTGCAATATACATAAAATGTGCATACACAGATATTCACTTTGTAGTGTTGGTAAACATAGGACTAGATTGCCAGGGACCACTGCTACAAACAAATTGTCACTTACCTGCACTCTCTTATCCAGTTTGGAATGTATTTGCATTGACGGTTCCTCTTTCACAACAGCACTGTCTGCTTCATCTTTACCATGCTTCACAGTGTAGTCCATCTCCAGCATGTCATATTTCCCGGGAACCTTCTCAAAAAAGTCCCTGCATTCCCAATCATTTTTAGTCTTTGCTTTAAATTTCTGTGTGAATGATTTTTTCGCTTGCTCAAGGTTTGTACCACATTCAACAAGGCTATTCTGGCCCTTATACCCAACTGAAAGAACAGATAAATATAAATCAAATTGCAGTATAACTTTCGACTCAGTCTCCTATTTATAGGACTCATTCACATAGGATTTATACTCTTTTTAAAAAACAACTGAAATCACATCTCTTTGACTCAGCTTACTCATAATTTATCGGCCATTTTATTTAATTATTATTTTTTTTCGTGAGTCGGTTGTTTCCAGGTGTTGTCAGGGAATGGGTTGGCACGGTGATCCTGTGAATTATGTTTCCTCGGGGTCGGTCGGCTGACCCTCAAAGTGCGGCAGAACGGCACACCGACTCTTCCCTAATGGCACTTGGTCACGCACCCACTTCGCTTGCTTGCTTCACTATCATTGGTCTTTTTTATTGGCCCATAGAGACTGCTGTATCATGCGCCTTATAAATCCATTCATTGATTGATTGATAGGTAAATCTCAGAACCAAAATGTATTGGCCATAAATAAAAAGTTTATGCCCAATAAAAATACCAGTAAATATCTTTCATTACCAAGACTGATATATATATATATATATTCGTTTTGAAAAAATGGTTAAAATGTCTATATTTATGAATTTTTTTTTTCAGGCAATAAACAAAGGCGGGAAAAAAAAAATACATACACAGACAACTGACAGATCACCTACAGAATTTAAATATTTAATTAAGATTTCAAATTCATCAAATGATGATACTCTGCCAAATGTAACACTGATTTGGAGGAACCCCAGCGCTTGTCTAGATCTTTGGGTCATGATAGCTAACCACAGCCAATGTCTGTTTGAATTCATTCACATTGATTTTCTCCAATTGAGGCTTACTTGAGGCAATGTCAACTACAGTAAGAATGATAATTATGACAATTTATATCTAATACAAAGATATAAAGATAGGGAGCCATTAGATCTTGCATCTTAGCCTAGATAATAAGTTGTAAGCATTGGTTCATATATACCTTGACTTACTCATCAATATTGTTATTCTTATACTTTGAAACACAGCAAATAAACATATATTCAAAATAAAATTGTTGTTTTGCTCAAGTACAAGTCACATGATAATTATTCAATTCTGAATTGATTTATTCAAAATTTCAATTGATAGCTTGGAATTCCTTCCCCAATCACATAAACAAATTACTTCACTGGGTACCTTCAGAAATAATACTTTTTTTCTTTATATTAAGGATAAGGTTAGGCCTATATTTGTTCTTTGCCTTATACTTTTTCATAAGTTTTTGAATCCGGTTGGTTGTGCTAGCTCCCCATATCTGTCTTAAATGCTTTATAAATATATTTATGCGAAAGGCATTTTAAAATGAATAAAGAAAGTAAAAAACGTGGATGTATTTGCCATGTATTACATTAACATTCAAACAGTAAATCCTAACATGGTGCTGCAGGTCTCATTAGCATTGGGCTTTGAAGATGGTCTTCCTGCAGTATTATTAAAAAAATGAGATAGAAACTTACCTCTACCCCATCGGAACCACACACTGTAATTAGGACTTCCCTCATCAACCAACAATTGCAGTAAGTAGTATTTGTTGTTGTTATTTGCTACGTTTGTCTAGTCGGAAAATGATGTCATAAAATAACAGTTTTATTAAAGATTAAAATAACTCAATTAACAAATTTCTGGGGATAAAACTTCACAAAAAAACAAAAGAAGAGAGGAGGAGACAAAAAGAAAAAAAAACAAACAAGAATGGATCCTAATGAAAAAGCTAACCTGAAATAAGAGAATGAGTTACATCAACATTTTTATAAGCACAAATTAGGATGAGTAATTAAATCAAGAGAACTTATAAAAGAGTTTATAATTGTTTAGTTGGTCAAATACATGAACAACTCAATGTCCCTGATAAAACTGGTTATAAAAAAGTACAAACAGGAGTTGCAGCTACTACCCTATTGAGGATCACCACCGCCTCCGGAAAATCCTTGTGTTTTCCAGGAGAGTTATCAACATGCTGAGCTATCCGAATAGGTAAATACCGGTCTTCTGCTCAAAATATTTAAAAAATGTAAATGCTTTTGGTGGAGCCACATTCTGGATAGGGTGTATAGCCAGCCTGTCAAACTGGGTTGGTGTAATGTCTTCCTTCCTGTGGATATTCACACCCACCTCAATACGCAAGTCCTGTGTCATGAAACTGATTTTTTTGTGACGGGCACGATTTTGAGTCACAGTAGATTGCAACGCCTCCCACCACGTGCACAGACTGGACATCATTTTGCAAGGATTCTGTTCGCTCAAGTCATTAAGGTAAACCCGGGGGGCAATCTTAGCTGCTGACGCAGATGGTCCATGTTAAAATTTGCATCAAAGACCTTCTGCAATGAACTCCGAGAAGTAGGTGGCTTCCATGGGACTGTGGGTGTGCCCTTTACTTGTCTCTCCTTGGCCTCAACATCCTCCCTCTTCCTGTGGGGTTGAGGAGGTGTTGGTGTTGGATTTCTTCAGAGTGATACACACCAAGAATAACCTATGAGTCGTGAGACTTACTTCCAGTGGGTCCTTCTGGTGTTTAATTGGGCAGCACACTGGAAGATGATAACCTACTCTTTCCCAAAGAGACTACTGCGTTCTTAAACGTGCAAATGATCCAATTTGCACACTGGACCAACGGCTTAAACATCTCATCTGGAAGACGGTGCGCTTTTCAAACTTGCATTTCAGCCCTCCAGAAGAAACACAAGGAGAGCTGCGATGGGACCAAAAGATTCGAAAGCACATGCAGTGGCTACCACCAGTTTAGCCATCTGGGCTAAGCTACTCTCAGGAGGTAGAGTGGCAACTGCTTATGGTCGAGCTCGAACTGCAACTGCCTCATCTGCTTGCTTGATGATGACCTGGATGATGCTGGGCTCAACACGAACTGCTATGGCTGCTGGATGACTCACAGGGTTGACTGTTACTCCTCTTCCATCACATATAGATCATTTGCATAGAACAAAGTCCAAAGTTCAATGGAAAATCTGGCTTTCGGAGGAGGCCCCCCATTCCCCTCTCCAAGTTGTGAGAGAGGATCCCTCAGTGTTGCACCTTCACCCAAACATGCTCTCGCCAGCTACTAAAAGACTCGTATAGTTTCGTCACCAGTGTCAGTTTTCTGTATTTAACTTGTAAATCTCTGATACCAATACTTCACTTGACCTGATTCCTATTGATTATGTTCATCCGATCATATTGTACATTTATACGTACTTCCAGGTAAGACATTTGTTTTAGTTTGTTTTCTAAACGTTAATTATTCTTTATTTCATATAAAGAGATTTTGGAAATCACTTAAGGTACGATTCGATTTCGAATTATGAAAAGTGTAGGCTGTGGCACCGAGACCTCTGACGATTAGTGCCCAAAATTGTTTACAAAAACGTAATGCAATAATAGCATATTAACTACTATTGTATATTTTCGGAAAATATTTCAGCCGCTCCAAATCTCTTTCCTATACTTCCTTCTTCCTTTATTCTTTCACAATTTTGC